TAGAGCCACTTACATAACAAAGTAATTTGGTTTTAATAGATGTGAAAACTTGAAATATGGTGTTTTTTTTTCACATTGATACCAAGTGAAATGTACAAAACTGTCAAATTTTAGGTCATCAAATATTGTATAATTTCCATGCAGATGATGATACCTGATTTTGAGTTAGAGGGGGTGCTATAATATGTCAAAGGGCATTGGTACTGCCAAGGTCCCAGCGAGTCAAGGACAATGTCTGGTTTAGGGCTTGGAGGCAAAGCCCTCTAAGATCCTCAGAATCTACAATTTAGAGAACCTCATTTTAGCACATATCGGTAAATGACTGTAATTTTATCTTTTTATGTCAATGTATGACAGTGAAAAGGAGGGGTGAGAGCCGGGAGCTCCCCCGCATGGATATATGCACCCGACATGTACAAGCAAAAGGGACATTTTGATAGAATGATGGATCCTTCATCCTTTTTAGCTCACCTCAACGAAGTTGGGGGAGCTTATGTAATACCCTTGGCATCCCAGGTTAAAGTTTTTGGAGCAGATTTCTTTTGAAGTACTTCTATGCCCTATATCAATCAGAGGTGCATGGAGAATGCCTTTAGTATGTTTCATTGTACCAGTCAAGGTTTCAGATGCTGCAATTTCATCTAAAGAATGACCAGGTTAATGTTTTTGGAACAGGTTAAAGATTTTGGAGCAGATCTCGTTTCCAAGTAACTATAAGTCCTATGTTGACCAAACTTGCATGGATGATATATCTAAGGATGCACACTACTGGACTTGCTTCGGATGTTGGATCTGACCTACATTTTCCGGTTGAGTGACCAGGTTAAAGTTTTTGGAGCAGATCTCATTTCCAAGTAACTATAAGCCCTATGTTGACCAAACTTTCATGGATGATACATCCAAGGATGCACACTACTGGACTTGCTTCGGATGCTGGAGCTGACCTACATATTTTGGATGAGTGACCAGGTTATTTTTGGAGCAGGTCCATTGCCAAGAAACTATAAGGCCTATCTGAACCAAACTTGCTTGGATGATACATCTAAGGATGTGCTCTACTGGACTTGCTTCGGATGCTGGAGCTGACCTACAATTTTTTGGATGAGTGACCAGGTTAAAGTTTTTGGAGCAGGTCCATTGCCAAGAAACTATAAGGCCTATCTGAACCAAATGTGCATGGATGATGCATCAAGGGATGAACACTTTTAAACTTGCTTCAGATGCTGGATTTGACCTACATTTTCTTGATGAGTTACTAGTTTAAAGTTTTTAGATAGGTCCATTCCCAAGTAACTACAAGCCCTATCAGACCAAAATTGCACAAATGTTGCATCTAGGGGTACACACTACCAAATTATTAGTTTAGTGTGGGACTTTGCCTTACTTAAAGACAACATTCGTTGAGGTATACTCTGTAATCTCTGATTACCTATGTTTCTTAAGTCAAATTGTAATCTTTTAAATGTGAATCAGTAAGTTTACACTGATATTTTTGTTTCCCTCAAAACTATGTGTCTTTTAAATCAAAATGCCTTCACTGTAGATATCATCCTAACTCGTGCTGTTCTGACTTTATGGAGTAGAATCGACAGACACATGTAGCCCTTTTGCCCCCTCCTCAACTCATTTCAATGGTAGTGACATAAAAAGAGCAAGATGTCAAAATATAACATTTATTTTCAACACACAAAACAATTACAAATACAGTCCTTGGGACAAAGAGGAATAAAACTAAAATACTGACATGGATGAGAAAATGGTCTCTTAAAAAAAATCTCTAGTTTTAAATCAGTGATAAATAGCTGCTAACTAGTGACAGAGTAACTTCCTTAAGCATTCACCCTTGTCTTATTTGATTTGAAATGTCAGAACCTTCAAAAAGGTATTCCAAATTAAAATGAGTTCCACAAAAGTTGATTTGTGACTGGAGGAAAAAAAAGTTCAAGGTCACATATGCACTTCATTCATTGATTTCCTCTGTAACTGTAAGTTATGGTATAATCTTACATTCCTTGGCTGGTCTGTCTGTTAACTCCTTATCAACAATATGTAATTCATGTGTCCAAAAAACATAAATGTAATTAAAGTGTAAAAGGATTGAAGAAAATACAATATAAGAAAAATTCTTTTAAGTCATGTAGGTGTTAAAATGCACTCAATGATTATTTTTGGTACTCAATGTGCCATAAATCACATAGGTATATATATTCTAGGATATATATATATATATATATATATATATATATATATATATATATATATATATATATATATATATATATATATATATATATATATTCTAGGATGCTGTTTACTTAATATCTTAACAAAGCCCTGTGACTTATGGCACAGTAAACATGGTAAAGTGAAAACAGAAATTACATAATTTGTAGGCATCACATAACTAACAAAACACTAACTGACTGACAAATAGCTGATTCACTGACAAATAACTGACTCACAGTCAAATAACCAACAAAGGTGAAAGTTATGTGGAGATAACTCTGTATGTTTCAGAAAAAGATGATTCAAATACTTTTAAATGCAACACAAAACCTTATTAAGTCTGCATCTATAAAACTAGATCAATATTCTACAAAAATAAACATTAAATACAGCTAATGTGTGATATAGTAATTATTGTTACGAAACACATGGAGAAATGATACATAAAACATTATGCTAAAACAAAAACATGCACAAAATAAACACATCTGTGACCATTTTAAATGTCACTGAGAAAAATCGATTCATACATGTATAAAGAAAAGAGAGAAAATAATATGTGGTGTGTTGTCCTAAGTTTACCAGAATTCAATACTTATTAAGTAAGCTGGTGTCTTATATATATATATATATATATATATATATATATATATATATTCTGGACCTTCCCACAACAATTTTTAAAATCAATCTATATATTTGTATTGATATTGTAACACACAGATTACAGTCCATAAACAAGTAGGTTCGAAGATGACCCAAATCCTACAACAGTGAACGTGACTTGAAATCCTCTTTTGAATTATTTGCATTCTGTTTTCAAAATAATGTTTCTTCTGTATGATGTATTCTGTATACGGGTTATTTTCACCCCATATTCTTTTTTTTTTTTTATTTTGACCACATAAAATTAATTTGACTAAAGATATAACTTTGTTTGGATTTAATGATACACCCCCTTTTGAATTTCCCTAAGGGGGCAAAATGGCAAAAATAAAGTGGAGACAAAAACTTACCTGAATACAGTATTAAGAATTTACTTAAGATTACCATATAAGTAATACCTGAAACATATGTAATCAAAATAATGCTCTCACTTTTTCATAAATGTCCACATATTGATACTGCACCTAAATGGTAGGATACATGTATATTGGTATTGTATAAAAGATGCACCTAAATGGTAGGATACATGTATATTGGTATTGTATAAAAGATATGGTAGAAGTTACTGTGTAAAATAAATTTCTGTGTCTGCCTTTTGTGCATGCATAACATATCCATGATACTTGCAAAACATATATAAAATATAAATGAGTTTTCTGTAAGTGTATAGTTTGATTGGATAAATTTAATTAATTGAATTGATAAATTTATGTCAGAGAGTAAAATACATGTATATCACTTAATGGGTCACCAGCTCTATGTAGCAGACAATCTCATACAGTAGTACTGATAAATCCAACAAATTTACACACATTTTTTCTTTAAAAATATTACTTGCTATCTGAAATATTGTCGCAATCTCTTATTCATATACATGCAACTTACAGAGATGAATTTTTTGAAATACATTAAAATATCTTTTAACATAACGCATAGAAACTCGATCTGTTTTTTAACATTTAAGGTAAATATTTTCAATAGGAGCCAATGAACATAAAATAAAATCAAGAATTTTATTATTGTAACATCAAAAGAAAAAAAATCTATCCAGTAAGATTATAAAAATCAAACTGTGAAGGAGTGAAAAAATACTTTATATTCTTCTTAAAAAGGGGTTGTAATAAACATGGAATTGGGTCTGTTAAATAAAGATAATCCTGACAATCAAACAGAGATTCATATCACTAAGTGATAATGTAACATATATAAAGGTCTATCAATAGAAAATACTTATATATTAACAGAGAGTAGGATCTTTAATTCTCATCATATGTACGGTCAAATAATATTATAACATCAAGTAGAGAAAAAGAATCAGTTAAATCCTAAACAAATAGTAATTTCACCAAAGTGTAAATCATACAAAGGATACACAGACTTTAGTTTACATGTATACAAAGAATCAAGCTCCAATATATAAAGATAATTCTTTTAATTCACAAATCCATAAAATGTAAAAATTCAGTGAGCTTAATTTTTGTCTGGTAAGATTCACTACAATGAAGATTTTATTCACAGTGAACATTTAGATGATATACTAATGTTTATAATTTATTTTTACTTACAATATCTCAATCTTTGGCAAATTTAATAATGGATGAAGATTTCTTCTTAATAAAAATAGTAAGTACAAAATTCACCATGGCATTGTGACATATAAGTCAATTTCATTTTCTACTATCCACTTTTCAATATACAGTAAATATGGCATAAAGGTGACAAACATCATGGGCTTACTTTGTAAAAATGACTCGGATGCTATATATGTACAAAAATAGGATAACTGATGAGATAACAACCTTGTATAATTTGACATGAGTGATGGTTAATTGATGTAGAAAAGTTGGACTATCCCACAAATAACGGGGCAAGAAATGCAAATATTCGAATAAACAATATGGCAAAGAAAAAAATTATTGCAATGAAAACTGGCCAGATGATTTATAATCAATTTTGGGAAATATTTACACAACAGTAATCATATGTAATTAACAACAGATAATAAATACACATTTAAAAGTTTGAAAGTATACATAGTAAAAGATGATAAATATATATACATTGTAAGTCCATATTTACAGTCATGTACATGTATTTGAATTTGTTAATTGAATAAAACTGTGTCAATTACACAGACTAATCCAATTTCTTATCTGATTATTTTTTTTAAAAATGATCATTTTCAACTAAATAAATACTATACTATATGTAAAGCATGTTTAAAAAATCTACAAAGGTGTAAAATTAAAATCAATGACTTCTAATGTCACCTTAAAAACAAAAAATCCCAACAGTCACTATTTATGGTTGAGTTGATTACTCCACAAATAACAACATTCTGCTTCATTCCCTTTGTAAGTAAAACATTACACTAAAATACACCTCTGTTCTTGACCTGTGATCTCTAGTACTGGATTTTGACCTTTAACCTTGGTCAGATGAATGAAAATCCACCAATCAGCCATTAATGCTGGGACACTGTGGTCCTTCATCAAGAGTTCCCTGGGTAGGAGATGACATGCTTACCCCTTTAGTTTGATTTTATAAAGCTTGAGTTTGAATCCACAGATTTCTGTGAGGACTGCTGAGAAGGCAGAGAGGACGACGACTTTGACGATGTTATAGAGGACAGGATTGGCTGAGACTCCCGAAATCTTAAAGGGGCTCTCCAACTCCTGTCACAAACATAGGAAAATAAATTTATATGCAATAAAGTCACACTTCTTATCAACAATGTGAAAATGAATAAGATTTATCTTTTTAACGTGCATGTATTTAACAATTCAATTTTGTTCTTTCATCCATACGAAGATAGCTATTAGATTAAATACCAAAGATTCAGTACACTTCTCTTTTTCACTACACTTTTCATTTGTAAATTCTTTGGTACTTTCTACCTGCCCAGTGTTATTCCAGTAAAAATTATCTAAAGGAGGTGTTTTTTAAACCCTACTCCTTACCAAAAAACCCGAGAAACACACTACCAAGACATTTGAAGTTTTTGTCATCCCTCCTACCATCAAGAAGATATAAATCTGTATACTAAGTCTTCATCTATGAATCACTGAATAAAATAGATTTTCCTCTACAATATCTGAGTTAAAAAAGAAATCATTTTTCAAGTTAATGAAACAACCTTTTCCTTTCATTGATAAACTTTTATATCTGAAAGGGTAAGTAAGCTCCTAAATGCTACCAATGACATCTTGGTTGTCCATGTATTCCTTTAAAGATTGGCAAATATTTAACAAGAGGCCCATGGGCCACATCGCTCACCTGAGCACATTGGCAAGGCAAAAGCACAAATCAGTTCAGTATTAAAAAGATTGGGGGGGGGGGGGGGGCTTGAATTTTAAACTACCTGATGATGCTTCCATGTCAATATAACAAATGGCTTTGTTGTACTTGAGAAGATTTTTTAAAAATTTTCCCATATATTCCTTTGCAAAAATTTGATCCCCCATTGTGGCTCCTCTCTATCCCAGGGGTCATCATTTGAACAAACTTGAATCTACACTACCTGAGGATGCTTCCATATCTGCAATATGACTGAACATAGCTTTTCTGTTCTTGAGAAGAAATTTTTTTCTATATGTGCTTATGTAAAACTTTTGATCCCCCTACTGGGCCCCACCCTACCCCCGGAGGTCATCATTTGAACAAAATTGAATTTACACTACCTGAGGATTCTTCCATATCAAAATGACTATACTTGTTTTTCAGTTCTTGAGAAGAAGATATTTTCCTATATGTTCCTATGTAAAATTTTCGATCCCCCATTATGGCCCATCCCTATCCCCTTGGGTCATCATTTTAACAAACTTGAATCTACACTACCTGAGGATGCTTCCATATCAAAATGACTAATCATGACTTTGCAGTCCTTCTTCAGAAGATATCTTCCTACATATTTCTATTTCAGACTTTAATCCTCCATTGTGCCCCCCCCCCCCTACCCCAGAGGGTCATGATTAGAACAAACTTGAATCTACACTACCTGAGGATACTTACACATAAATATGATCAATCAGGGCTTTGCTGTTCCTGACAAAAAGATTTTTAAAGATTTTTCCTATATATTTCTATGTAAAACTTTGCTCCTCCATTGTGGCCCGCCCTACCCCTTTGGGGTCAGGATTTGAACAAACTTGAATCTACACTACCTGAGGATGCTTTCATATAAATATGACCAATTAGGGCTTTGTTGTTATTGAGAAGAAGATTTTTAAAGATTTTTCCTTCATATTTCTATGTAAAACTTTGATCCTTCACTGTGGCCCCGCCCTACCCCCGGGGGTCATAATTTGAACAAACTTGAATCTACACTACCTGAGGATGCTTCCACATGAGTTTCATCTTCCCTGGCTTTGTGGTTCTTGAGAAGAAAATTTTTAAAAGATGCTATTAATTTTTCACTAATTCCTTATTATCTCCCCTTGAAAGAGGGCATGGCCCTTCATTTGAACAAACTTGAATCCCCTTCACCCAAGGATACTTTGTGGCAAGTTTGGTTGAAATTGGCCCAGTGGTTCTTGAGAAGAAGTCGAAAATGTGAAAAGTTTACAGACGGACGGACGGACAGACAGACGGACTACAGACAAAATGTGATCAGAAAAGCTCACTTGAGCCTTCGGCTCAGGTGAACTAATAAAAACTTAGTAGTCCCCCCTCCCCCCTTCCTCAACCATTTAATTAATGAACGAATTCCCCATCCAAAAAGTCACCACCATGTATTTCCTATTAAAAAGATTAGCAACCTTCCACAAAAAAAAAAATTAATTGGATTTCCACCCTCAGATGTTTTCCACTGGAATGGCCCTTTTTATCATCAGTCAGACATCTGTGTGCTATAAAAAGATACCGACCTTAAGTAAATCCTCGGCCAGTTTGAGGACATTGTTGGCCACCATGAGTTCCTCTTTCTTGTGAGGTTTCTGTTCCATCTGTAGATACAGGTTAATCTGCTCCGTGATCAGTACGGAGAGGTTGCGGTATTTTTTGTTGATCTTCAGCCCGAGGGTCATGAATCTCATCAAGTAGATGCCGAGGGCCATGCACCAGATGAGGAGTTCCCAGTTACACAGGAAGTCAAGGAAAGTCTCTGTGTCCTTCAGAAGCTAAAAAATAGAATATCATAAAATAAAAAATATACATCACATAAAATCATAATGAACCATAAATATGAAACTCATTCATTTTTGGGTTGGAAGATAACCAGGCTCCGTTTGCCCTTTATTGCCAGTAATATTGTATAATTTTGTGATATGAGATATAGTGACTGGTACCTACCTGTACACACATAAGAGTGAGGATGATAATGGTTGTGGTGAAGGAGGAGGATACGATAACATCCACTGACCTCTGGGGGCCTCGTTTCTACAACATATTTTATGTACATATAATGATATTATAATACATAAACACCAATGCTGTGATATCAGTATAATGAAGGATTTACTAACAGTCAAACCTCGTTATCTCAAACTTGATGGGACTGAGAAAAACTTTGAAATATCCCAGGATTTGAGATATCAGGGGTAAAATACTTAAAGAATAAGTGTTTGCAGACTTCCAAACAACTTTGACATATCAATAGTATTCAAGATATCAAGTGTTCCAGATATCGAAGTTCAACTGTATTTCAAAGGAAAGAAAACACAAAATGAGAATATTTTCCTTGGTCACATACTGTATGTGTACAAATTTTAGAGGATTTGACATTGTGGTGCCTCCTTGGTGCAATCCTACAAATACTGCCAAATTACACAGATATATGTACAATACATAGAGATTTAGATAACATAATTCATGAATGCATCAAACTGCCTCTGTATGTTTCCACAAAAGTTTGAACAGTAAAATAAGTACATGTATAGTAATTTGACATTAGCAATGGATGGAACATGTATCTAACAACTCCTGAGTTAAATGTGCTCACCTTTAAGTAGGATCTGAGTGAAAGCCAGGTTTTGATGTTTCTGACTTTGTTCAGGCGAAAATGTGGCATATCAAATTTACGTGCCCTTCTGGAGGAAGTTAAGTAGCAGAAATGTTTGGCATAAAGTAATCTCTGAAAATGGAAACACAATGATATTTGTTTATGCATATTGATATTTCTTACTTTGAAAATGCTACATGTATGTCCTTCATATTTCCATATCATTTAAAATGTTTAAGTCTGATTAAAATTAACCCCCTCCCCACTACATGTTCAACCTCCCATGCACACATAGAGTTTTTGTGCTTTGATTACAAGAAAGTTGGCAGATTCTAATCAAACAAAATAAATACATGTAAAAGAGAGAAAAAAAATGTTTATTTTCTTCTTTAGACTTACTAGAATAGATGAATTTGTTCTCGAATGTCACACGAACAAGGGCAGTTTCATTTTGTTCCAGAGAATACCCCATTATAGCTGCCTGTTTGTGTGTTTTTAATTACACTGTATATTATTCCATTTCACATATTCACACTTCACAGATTTAAAATCTTTTTTTTGAAAATATCTCAATGATTTTCATGTTTTGAGTGCCATCTTGTTTTATACTTTATAGGTATAATTAATGAGGTAATTATGTACTTATAGATCTTCAAAAATTGCCCTTAGCAATCAAGGCTTCTTATTAAGCTGTGAAAACTAATTTGATCTTATTTGTACAGTGAGAAACTGAGACTAACGGTTAATAAAATTGGGACGTTAGTATACATTTATAAACAGAATAATTTTTTTTCTTATTTACACTGTAAAATGACTTTATATCCAAATAATCGAATAGCAGTTTTACTAATCGATACTCGCATCATTCGACGATTAACTGGGTACTCGTTGACAACACTACTAGATATATATCAATCCTAACCTGAACATACAGACTTATTATTGGTTACCTGAAATGATGACCTCTTTGTTCAACTTTGACCTCTGTACAAACAATTTGACCTGTGTGTTCTAACTACTTGACATGTGTGTTCTGACATTTTGACCTCTTTGTACTTACAATCTGACCTGTCTGACCTATATGTGTGTCTGTACTTACAATCTGACCTGTATGTATTACAATTTGACCTGTCTGCATTTACAATTTGACCTGTCTGTACTTTAACAATCTGACTTAAGGACGACGGACCTAATTCAAAATTTCACGCCACTGCGCAGAAAACCGCGCATATGCCTTGAATCAAACTGACTTAATTATGTATTGCAAAAGATAGAAAATATACATTTTTCATTCTTTTAAAGATATTCAAACTGAAAAATATTGTAAATATTTTGATTTATATTCATTTGTTGATTTTATAAATAAATAATTTATTTGGCCAAGGTATTTTCATTAAAAATTCCCCCAAAATGTGCCCTACACCTGAGTTTGACATGCCCCCCCCTAAAAAATCTAAGCCAATGACCCATTTATTTTTTGGCATAATTTGCTGGTAAATTGTCTTGTGAACATTGTCCTTTAATATGAATAAAAATTCTATTGCAGAATTTTTTTCAATGATCACTCTTATACCCTACACTGACAATTTCCCATTACTTCCTATAGTAATTATCAATTTCCATCGCCAACTTTTGAAACACTCCCCATTAAAAATCTACATCGATAACCATATGATTTTTTATTGATTTTAACTCAACAAAAGTCACTTTACCTCATATTAAAATTTGAATAAAAAATATATTGCAGAAATGAATTAGGTCCTTCATCATTAAATGAACTTACTTGTTTGAATGTTCGGTCCGCTACAGACAACAGAAAGAAGAAAACACAACTCAGACAGAATCTCTGCAGAATTCCATTTGCCAAAACCATATTAAATCTGAAAGCATAATACATGTATATAAAATGTATACACATAATATGGTGTGAATATATAAACCATGTAAAATCTGAAAACATATTTATTAATAAATATAAATATATACACATAACAGCAATGTGATTACAAGTAAGAATGTGTTCATTGCAAGAAATTAACATCTATGTACTTTTGGAAGCAGCTTGCATTCATGTACAGTAAAACATGGTTATAGGGAAGTGCCAGGGATGAACAATTTTGATTCGTTATAAACATAATTCATTATATCTGTCAAGATTACAATACAATTTAGAGAGGGGGGGGGGGGGGGGGGGATCACTTCATTGTAAACATGGATTCATTATAAGCATGTTTGCTATATCCATGTTTTACTGTATACCCAATATAACAATTAAGAAAAAGAAGGTAGTTAAACTTTTCTTACCAAAATCTACATGTTTTCTACAAGTATGGTAAAATCATACAACTTTGTTAAACTCTGAAGATAAAATAATTCTTTTTAAGTATTTTTTTTCTCATGATTAAATGTTTGGTGAAACTTCAAGTACTTTATGCCCCACCTCCATGATTCCGCATTGAGACTCCAGAGAAGATTAACAAAGGCCTGTAGATTCAGGAGGTTATAGATGTCCTTAGTGTGGTAAATCTTAAATACGATCGGGACACAACCAATGATCAGAGAGAACACCAGTCCAATCAGGATATAGTCGGAACTCTCGGGGATGTTGTCTACTTTCTCAATAATTGTCCAGCCAATGTCTATCCCAGTCAGTTCTACCTTTTTAGCCTCACTTCCCTCCCAGATGAGACAACTCACTAAAAAACAAAAATATTACAATATTGGGTATCAGCAATGTCGCTGGAGAGAGTTAAAAACCATCACCTAGATCTTTGTGATTTCAAAGCCAATCTATTCTTGGAAACTTTAAAGACAACTGTAAACCATTTTTTTAATGCAAAAGTTTGTCACAGTGAAATAAAAATTCAGCAAGAAATTACATGTTAGATTGATAAAACTATGGATGAAAGTACTCTCACAATTTACAATACACTCTGCATGTACATGGATACCAACCTTTAAGTATACTCTCAATATTGACATTATATTCTACATGTACAGGAATACTGACCTTTATCTGGAGGTGTATGGTGTCCTAGCCCAGAACAGCTGGTGGGCTGAAAAATTAAAATAATATCAATGAAATACTGGAATTCACATTAAATGATCTTATATGCAAATCAATGGTATTATTTGATTAGAAATCATACTTGTATTTTCTCTTCTGTTTAAACATATTATCATTATACACCATGTACATACTGTGAATAACATTACAAAATGTTGTTACAAAATTGATTGTATTTCAAAATATACTTATGTAATTACAACACTTTCAACCTTCATACTTTATATCATTTTCTGTGTTATGCAAGAGTTTTTCATGCAAAAATGATATTATACAATTATGGTAAATTATTTTATACAGCCAAGATTGACTGGTAGTAATTAAAGTTGTTCAGTAGAGAGAGGCAGATAAGAATACAGTGCTATCACCTCAAGGATTAATAAAGCTAAAATTTCTAGAGTAAAACATTTAAAAAAATATTAATTTTTCAAACTTGCCAAACTTGAAGGCATTCAAATGGAGAAATAATAGCCAAATGTAGATTAGAGATTCTCCAAAATGTCCATGAACAGAATGTACAGAGAAAAATCTGTACTGACCATGCATAATCTACACATGATTAACATAATTAAGAGAGGTTGAAATATGAGTACATAGTTTACAGATTTATCCAAAGAAACCCTTTATTACAAATAAATCAAAATATGCACGTGATCCATGTCAATCTTGTGTAAAAATTATTCACAGTCTACTTGAATTATTGTCATGAATAAAAAATCTATATTAGCAAAAAAGAGCTAGAACTTTGCAAAGTAGATCATTTTTTGCACTGGCATTTATCAATCTTACATTTACACTACAGTAAATCTTTACAATAAAAAAAAACACTTGCACCCATTACGTTTTTTTTTATACACACATTTTTGACTAAAGGTAACTGTGAAATCATTGCAGTTATTATTGTCAATGGAAATATATTAACAGATTTTTATAAACACTGTAATAGTGAACTTTTTCTACTATCTACAGTAACTGCCCAACCTTTAGATAAAATCTGTCATTATTAGTCTGTTACATGAATTATCTCCCCTTAGTACTAAGAAAACGACAGTAGATGTCGCCAGACACATGCATGGCATAACCAGAGCCATATGCCTAGTGTGTTCACTTCTCCATTATACAGATAGCAAACAACAGAACATACCAATAGCTCCCCTGTCTATAAAACCATCATTCTACAACCTGATTTGATTTAAACTCTCGCAAGGAAAGATATCCGTAGTATAATATCTTGATCAGTTTAGCTGAGGACCCATACCATACTTAACATACACTTTTTTTTATTTATTTAGGGTGCATATCAAATATATGTATTTTAAAACTAAAAATATTCAGCACATATTTCTTTTGAATGATGAGAAAAAATTCTATACTTTTGAAAAATTCTACAATTTATCACCAGAGGTAAATAAATGATTATAAACATAATGTGAATGTGAACTGACATAACACCCTCTTGACAGACGGGGAAGCTACTGATATGTAAACAAAGATACGACAGAGAGCGGTACATACAGGCTGTAGTAGATTGATTACATGTTGACTGCTGTTCTTTCTCTCCAAACCATCAGGAGGAATTGCTCCAGAATTTGTGTTCTCATAACCCTCTGAGAACTCGGCTCGCATCTCATTCTCACTGAGCTCGCTGTCTGAGGAACTCGTGGAATACGTAGAGGTAGTGACGTCTGATTGGACACGGTCTTCCCATTCTTCAGAACTCACCGTACCCTAAAACAACAAAGTTCTGTATAAAGTAATGCAAGCTAAAAATAATTATACATCTCAAATACTTTGTGTGAACATCAAAGCAAACAAGAAGTCAACTTTGTCTTCCCATTCCTCAGATCTCACTGTACCCTAAGTAAACAAAATTCTGTTTTACATAATGCAGACTAGGAATTTACATATTTCTCAATACAAGGTACAAGAACATCAAAGCAAACAACAAGAGGTCAACTTTGACTTGCAAAAAAAAAAAAAACGACCTGCTCTACATATGAATCAAAACCTTGGATTAAGTAATTTTGATGATTTGCTGATAAAAAATGATGTTGCAAAGATCTTAATAGTTCCTCCACCTGCTATATAAATCTTCCTTACCTTGTTTCCATCGTCTCGTTCCAGACTTGTTGGAGTAAGCTCCCTTTCCTTCCGGCTCATTTTGTTGTCTTTTGTCAGTCGTCGTGGCCGACAGTAAGATGCCCCCGATTCTGAGCTATCATCCACTCGGGTCTTTCTTCGCCTCAGTCCCTGGAAGGTCCGAATCTCTGAATCAGACTCCGCCCTCTCTGAGTCAGACTCGGATTCCTTTTTCAGATCCTTGGTGTATTTAGGTGATGGTAGCTCTAGACTAGACATCTTTGTTTGAGTCTCGTCTGCTTCACTCATGTCTGGATGAATGTCAATGGAACTGGAGATCTCCATTAATTGGGCATCCTTCTTGTCCTCTATACTACCCCCCTCTGTTTGACCCCCCTCTATCTGAGTTACACTCTCCTTGTTGATATCTGGATTATGATCTGTCACTCTGTAGTCTATGACTCCATCCTGGTTTAGGATATATATCTGCCCATCACTGACAACAGGTGCTTCCAGATGGAAGTTAATATCATTTTCCAGTCTCTCCATTGCCACACTATCTGCAGACAGTATTTCTAGTGCACTAGCACTTGTGTGAATCCCCTTTATGGCACTATCTTCTTGTTTTTGGGATTGCTGACTCGTTGAGGAATTATCTCCCTTAGATTGCAGCTCTTCGACACTTCTTCCTCTTCTCTCGCTCTCCGAGTCGCTCTCCTGACTAGATTTAGTGGACACTTTTTTCTGACTAGATTGGGACTTCCTATCGCAATTGCTCCAACTGACCGACTTTTTGTCACTCGTGGACGAGGACGAGTCCTCAACCTTCACCCGTCCATTAGCAATCAGTATGCTCTCCTTGCTAGGTTCAGTTGACCTTTGACCTGTCTGGTCTGAAGCACTGACTCCACTCACTGGATTGGAGTTACTTCTGAAAGTGTTTCTTCTGCTTCTTTTTCCATCTCTACAATAAAATAAAGTTAAATAAAATAAGAAGAATTAATGAATTTTAAAAAATATAATTGTTTTCTAAAGCTTTATGTACACTGATGTGTTTTAAATAATTGCTTGATCGTTTTTTTTTTAATTCATTTTGCAAAAAATACCCAGTAAATACATTACAAAGGATTACTTTTGCAGATGCATCATGCTAGTCTTTTATGGGCAATTATTTCTGTACATTGTAGTTTCATAAGCACATCCAAGAAATTTTTTATCATTTTCCTACTTACAAGCAAAACTTTGGGTTTTGCCCTTTCTGTGAAGTGGTCTGTGTGATATGGGGGTAGGGGTTAGATATCTACCTGTTTAGCACTCTCTGCCTGCCAAGTGGAACTAACATGACGTATATTTAACTGTTTTTTGCCCTCTCTGTGGGGTGAAAAGTGTGATACGGGGCAATATTTACTTTACCTGTTTTTACCCTGTCTATGAGCTGGTCTATGTGACTGTGGGAGGCAATATTTACCTGTTCTGCCCTCTCTTTGGGGCAGTCTCACATGTGGAAGGCAATATTTACCTGTTTTTGCCTTCTCTATGAGGTGGTCTGTGCTACATATGACAGGCAAAATTTACCTGTTTTTGCCCTCTCTATGGGGCAGTCTCACATGTGAGAGGCAATATTTCTGTTTTTGCCCTCTCTATGAGGTGCTCTGTGCTAGGTGTCTGTGAGGTGCCTACTTGTGGAAGGCAATATTTACCTGTTTTTGTCCTCTCTATGGGGCAGTCTCACATGTGGAAGGCAATATTTACCTGTTTTTGCCCTCTCCATGAGGTGGTCTGTGTGACATGCGGAAGGCAATATTTACCTGTTTTTGCCCTCTCTATGGGGTAGTTTCACATGTGGAAGGCAATATTTACCTGTTTTTGCCCTCTCCATGAGGTGGTCTGTGCTACATGTGGAAGGCAATATTTACTTGTTTTTGCCCTCTCTATAAGGTGGTCTGAGCTACATGTGGAAGGCAATATTTACCTGTTTTTGCCCTCTCTAAGGGGCAGTCTCACATGTGGAAGGCAATATTTACCTGTTTTTGCCCTCTCTATGAGGTGGTCTGTGTGACATGTGGGAGGCGACTGTATGAGAATGAACCACCCCTAGAAGCAGCATCAGGATGGTGGGGATCACAACCAGAGTCAGGCTCAGTTCCTGTGTAGGAAAAAACAGGGTGAACACAGATCAAACTGGATAAGGAGTCATTAAAAATAAAGGCATATACACCAGAAATTCTACTCTCTTCCCACTCCAGTTTTTACACCTGGAATTCTTTGTTTTCCTCCCACTGCACTTTTTACACCTGGAATTCTTTGTTTTCCTCCCACTTCACTTTTTACACCAGAAATTCTATTTTTACTTGCATAGATATTTTACAGGAGGAATTCTCTTTGCTTCCCTCTGAATTTTTATTGAAGTTCTGTCTACCTACATCTTTAGTGACACTGTCACCAACATCACAGATGAAGTTTTGTCTACTTACGTCTTTAGTGACACTGTCACCGACATTGCGGATGAAGATGATAATGGTGAAGACCTGGAGGATGTATAACATTAGGAGGAAGAGCCAGAACTTGAATGTCACCTGCTGGCGCCACCTAATAATACAAGCAAAAATAATACAGTATTGAAATGTCTGTCTTCTTTTCATTTTCCCTATAGATGTAAAATGTCAGTAAATAAAAATATGCAGTACCAATTTTAAGCATTATGAAATTTTAAAAAAATCTAAGTCCATAAAAATGAAATAAGATAATCACATTATAATGAATTCAACAAAAAAAGCCAACAATTTTACCATCGATAACAAAGGGGATAAAACACAACCCTGCAGACTGCCTTGTGAGCTATGTAAGTCCATGATACTTGTGGTTTTGCTTTGGAAAAAGTTGAGCCTGTTAAAATTAAAGGTTATGCAGATCATAGTAAAAATAAATCTCAGTATAGCATGAATTAGAGCAGTCTTTATGGGATTAATTCTCCCACAGGAACATTTTCTGATCAGGGTATATTTTAGATGCTTGCTTACCAAACACATATATATTGAAAGGGGAAAAAAAGCAGGGTAAACTTTTCAAGTGAATTAATGCTATTTTTTCAAATGTATTTTCCACTATTGTTATCTGACATTTAAACTCATCTTCGATCAACAAGTTACCTAAATTTCATTTGATTCATAAACTTAACACCCAGATTGGAAGTGAATAAAACTAAAGGACAAACCGGCCCTCTTATGTTATTGAACTGACCTCTGACTAAATCTACATCAATTAACTCTGTCTTTATCTTCACATTCCTTCTTGGGGCAGACTGTATCCCCTACAACAAATATACACGGCATGTTACCATAATAACAAATTAAAAATGATCTGTTTTTCCATCAAGAAAAAAAAAGAGAAAAACATGCTTTTTTAAAAAAGGCTTCATACATTTTTGGGAAAGATGTTTAATTTAACAAGAGGCCCATGGGCCACAGCGCTCACCTGAGTAACTTTGGCCTTGCTGTTTTTCGCCTGATTTCTCCCCCCCCCCCCCCCCCCCCCGTAGTACTTATTGTGGCTGTTGCCCCGCCCATCCCCAGCGGTCATGATTTGAACAATTTAGAATCTACACTTCCCCAGCATGCTTCCACATAAGTTTCAGCTTTTCAGGTCCAGTGGTTCTTGAGAAGAAGATTTTTAAAGATTTTTCCTATATATTTCAATGTAAAACTTGGATTCCCTATTGTGGCCCCGCCCTACCCCGGGGGTCATGATTTGAACAATTTAGAATCTACACTTCCCCAGCATGCTTCCACATAAGTTTCAGCTCTTCAGGCCCAGTGGTTCTTGAGAAGAAGATTTTTAAAGATTTTTCCTATATATTTCAATGTAAAACTTGGATTCCCTATTGTGGCCCCGCCCTACCCCCGGGGAAAATGATTTGAACAATTTAGAATCTACACTTCCCCAGCATGCTTCCAAGTAAGTTTCAGCTTTTCTGGCCCAGTGGTTCTTGAGAAGAAGATTTTTTAAAGATTTTTACTACATATTTCAATGTAAAACTTGGATTCCCTATTGTGGCCCCGCCCTACCCCCGGGGGTCATGATTTGAACAATTTAGAATCTACACTACCTTAGGATGCTTCCAGATAAGTTTCAGCTTTTCTGGCCCAGTGGTTCTTGAGAAGAAGATTTTTTAATGACCCCACCCAATTTTTGTATTTTCTTGATTATCTCCCCTTTGAAGGGGACTTGGCCCTTCATTTTAACAATTTAAACTCCCCTTCATCCAAGGTTGCTTTGTACCAAGTTTGGTTAAAATTGGCCTAGTGTTTCTTGAGAAGAAGTCGAAAATATGAAAAGTTTACAGACGGACGGACAGACGGATGGACAGACGGACGGACGACGGACAACGGGTGATCAGAAAAGCTCACTTGAGCTTTCAGCTCAGGTGAGCTAAAAATGACACACAATCTGTAGCAATATGAAAATGCAGTATGTTCAAAAAAATTGATCACGGTACATGTACACATGTTCCAAGTGTATGAGAATTTGTGTGCAGTTGAATTTACTATTGTTTATTGATTCAAGTAAATCGTCATGAATCTGACAACATTTTTTACCTGTAAGACTCTTGACTCCACCGACTGCTCCCAAAGTTGTTTGTCGTATGATCCAATCTAAAACAAACAAAAATTTAAGTATGTAATACAAAAATAATGTTCAAGATAGGTAATTATCAAATTGTTTTCATTTCAATAAATTATTATATTCCATGAAATCATATTTTCATAATTTAAAAATGAACTCGAACTCACAGATTAGTGACCTGTACAGACATTTATAATAAGATTAATAATGCCCTCTGACTTGTATTGACCATAATAACATTTGTAATGCCCTCTGACCTGTTGACCATTATAATAATATTCATAATGCCCTCTGACTTGTATTGATCATAATTATTTTCAAAATGCCCTCTGACTTGTATTGACCATAATAATATTCATAATGCCCTCTGACCTGTATTGACCATAATTATTTTCAACATGTTCAAAATGCCCTCTGACCTGTATTGAAAATAATAATATTCATAATGCCCTCTGACCTGTATTGACTATAATAATATTCATAATGCCCTTTGACCTGTATTGACCATAATAATATTCATAATGCCCTCTGACTTGTATTCATACAAGTCAGAAAAAAAACTTTTTTGGTTACTCAATACTGAAGACAAAGAAACTCTTAATTCTGTGGGCAAATTCATAAATGATAACATGTTGTAGTAGCCATACACTTTTATATATAGTATTCCCTTTAACTGAAATAGTACAATATTATTGTTGAACTGAGCAATGTCATTTACAAATTGTTATACTATCCATTGGTATATCTTTTCTTTATTATTGTAATAATTTCATACTTGTCTGTTATGGGCTCTAAATTAGAAAATAAATGTTCTGTTCTGTTCTGTATTGACCATAATGATATTCATAATACCCTAGCTCTGACCTGTTTCTGATACCAGGCTACAGTATCATGGACTCTATCCATTCCTTGTTGACCTCCTGCTGGTAATGTTGTTTGAGCCAGGACACACCTCTTAAAGATGATTCAGTTTATCCAATGTAAGCCGGTTTTCCTTTACAGATTACCTCCAGGATTTTCTTCTTTCAAATTGATAAGATTCTGTTTGTCACTCCTAGATTTTGCCGTACTATTCACCACTGCTTACTCTGGTGTCAGCTTCTGAAACTGGAAACACAATGCCACTCTCCGGAGAAATTAAGTCACACTGGCAGAGAGAAACTCCAGGAGTTATCTAAAATAGGAAAATGAAAGCTGACAACAAACTGTCATAATAAGCACTGAATTTAAAATCCCCACTGAGGTGTCATTCAGTGTACATTCACACACAGAATTCACATTAAAGCCTTCTATTTTTTTAATCAGTATAACCAAAAAGCTCTAAAATTCAGAGTTGTTGAAATACGGTGGAGGGAGATGAAATGCATATATATGTAGAAAATCATTCCTTGCAATTTCTAAAAAAAGATTTTTTAAAAACCAGAGACAGTGGTTTGACATAAATCGTGTGTAGCTGTCAGCTATTTTTGGCCCCTTATATGAAGTCACTACCTTTATATGGCAGATAAAGCACTCAAAAGCTCATTTATCTTTTAATTAGCAACATTTAACTTCTCATTCCTAATTAAACATCTTATAATCAAAATAACTGCTGAGTGCAGCACTTTTTTGTCATGTCACAAATGTATGGACAAAATAAAATAAAATGTACTAAAGAGTCACATTCCTATATGGTTAAATAGTACATGTGTATTTTAAACTGTGTCAAATTTCAACACCAGCCAATTTTTAACATAAAATTTCAAGTACAATTGTATTCCAAAATGTACTCGGAACACATTACTAATTAAGTTTACGAATGTAATGGGTGATTCTTAATAGTACATGTATGCATGATTGTCAAACATTTGCTAAAAATCATTTCAAAACACTATTTTGAAAGCAGAGAATTTCTCCAATTTGTCAGTGGAGTAATTAAAATGTCATTACAGCATTAATTTCCTCTAAGGCTGCATGAACTAGGAAATCATTTCAGCATTGTGACAATTGGTATCTTGATCAATACATAAAGTGTGTCCTTGATTTGAAAATTAAATGTATCAACTTGACCCTGTTTCAATTAAATATTTTCCCATGAGTTATAAGACATTATAGAACAAGTACCATATTCCTGTGGATGTTATCACTGGCCCCTAGACAATGAGTAGATGTTGCTAGAAACAAATTTTAAAGATTAAATCATTTAAGAAATTAAACCAACTGAAATTTGAGGTTTCTCTATTTTTTTTTCCAGACATTTAATGGGTATTTTTAAATTACCAGTAATAGAATTATATCCTCTATTCATCAAAATAGAGGACACAGAAATGTTTCAGTAAATGATCCCTAACCCTACCTAGAATACAACTCTCATGTTATCATTTATCTCTCAGTTCTCTTTAAAGTAGAAAACATTATCATTTTCCTGAAACCTTTTTCATGATACATCTCCTGTATAAGTTTCATAATTCCCATGGAACATCATTACCCCTAAAAGAGCACAAAATTTCAAATGAATTAGCAATGAAATTGTTCCATGAAATCAGATTTCCTTATATATTCATTTAATATGTTTATAGGTGCTTTATGAGAAATTCTCCCAAATGAAGAAAAAAAGAGAATTAATGTTGAACAATTCATTGCAAGGACTTTTAGTTCTGCTTTGAAAATGATTGACTTTAGTGTCCTTTCTCTACATCAGAAGAAAATTAAAGAAACCCCCTGATGTGAAAAATAAAATCCAGGGCATTTTGCAGATATGGCACAATTCTCATGATACATCAAAGCCCAGTTTAATTGCTTCACTTTAATATAGTTAGTATCTCTCATGTGTATTGTAAATAAAGCCAAAAGATGAAAAGTAATAGAGTGATGTCATTGTTTCAAATATTTCCAACCTCTTAAATTGTGAAATTCAGAACATTTTGGTGTGCAGTTCAGATGAAAACACAACCTGAGGGATGAAGAGTGAAATAAAACTGATACTTTTTAGGGGCACCTGTCACTTAAATCTGCACTATAACTAGAAAGTCACCCACACATAAACCAATGATATCAAAACAACATGTAGTCTAATTTAGTATAGCACACTCTGACAGGAGAAAGGACAGATAAATTACCGGTACTTAATTGAGGATCAATGAACAAGATAATTAATATAAGTACCAATATCATAATTAATAAACAGCAATAGAAAATCAGGAGACCACTGTCAAATTCCTTTTTGGGTGACACAACATATCGCATGTTCTGGTTAACTATTTTAATGCCAAATACTGAATGCCATTAAAAAAAAAATTCATGAATATTCTTGAAATGACCATAAATGATATCTATTTTATCATATTTCACTGGTTCATAATGAACATGTATGTTCAAGAATAAAATTATAAACTGATTATAATAAGGCTACTCAATGGGTTAGTTCATGAAGAAATGAACAATACATAATGATTAAAATAAAGAGTTGTCTTTCTTTTTTGAAATAAAATTCAGTAAGTCAGTCAGCATGATTAAATTCTGTAGAACAATATAAACATTAATTCTTATGATAAAAAAGAAATTTAAAAATTATTCTATAATAATAATAATAATCATATTTTGAGAAACTACAGTCTTCTTTTTCAATAAACACTACATAAAATTACAATTTAGGACATTTTATAAAATATAATCAACAGTCAGTGTGGCACATACCTGAGAACAACGTTGTCTACTGGCACTTGCCAAACTTCCCAATAATTAAGGAATGATTTAATCATGTTAATAGCTACCCAATTTATATGGTATAAAGTGGGTTGGGGCAGTTTACGCTTTATAGACTGCGAAGCAGTTTATAAAAAAGTGTAAACTGTTCCAACCCACTTTATAACATATAAATTGGGAAGCTATTAAGTTCATTCCTTATAATTTAATTTTCATCCATTTAGTGTAAGAAAAATATGATTGCCCTTAAAAAATGACTTCAAATTGTGCAAAATTTAAATGTAACATCAGGCGGATCGATTTGTTTTTGACGCAAGTCATTGTGACCTAGGTAACCCAATTTATACGATACAAAGTAAATTTTTTATCCAATCAAATGGCTTGTTACAATCAGAATTAAATTATTGCACAATATTAAATGAGCTCTGAATATGTTTCAAAACATGAATTTCTTTGATTGTGTTCAACTTTTTTTTTCAGAAATCATAATGCGTTACTGAAATTCATGTTACATAAATTTATGTTACTCAGAAGGAAAATTAATTTCATGAAATATCAAAAAATTCATGACATCATCAGAATCATGAAGTCCAGTTATAAGTTAACTAGACCATCATGAATTATTTATACAAAGAATTAAGTTCATGAATTTCGTTTATGAACAATTATTATTATTCTTGAGTAATTCCTAATCATGTGGCCGCATGCAGTTAAAAAATTCCAATCCTCTCTTCCACACAGCCAAAACATGTTTCCATTGATTTCTTTGATGATTTGAAAGCAATAAGGTATAAATGTGCACAACGTTCACACACGAGCCAAAAGTTTAAAGAATGCAAACAATCTATATTTGTTCCTGTTTTTTCATTATTTCCAAGAAAATCAAATACCCACAGAAAGTGTCTATGCATGTCACTACCTTGCCTATTGTACAATATCTTACATTTTTACCTCCATTGTAGAAATAATTAATATTTTATAATATTATGAAATTTAAATGTGGTCTTACTGATATGAGTGTAAATGCCCCCTGATGGCCATTGATTGGTGAATATACAAACATATTATTATTATTATTGTGATAAGGAGTAGGACCATTCACCCAATTATATGTCTTTTTAAGCTATTTATAAACATGATAAACATTTTACCGACAACCAATTCTGATTTTCTGAGAAAATCCCATGATCATGATTTTGGCTATACAAGATAACTCTGTAATTTCTCCGACTATTATTCATGATTGTATGAAGAACGGAGTGAGGTATGCATGCTATGCATATGGTGTCAAATATCAGTAAAATGTAATGCTATCCTCCAAATTCATACAAATTTGTACAAGTTTAAATCCCTGAAAAAAGCATTCATACCCATGGCTTCCATATTAACTAATATAATCTGAGGAGAAATGAAAGAAAAATGTTCAACCTCCCTATCTTAAGGTCACTTGCTGCAAACAAACTTTTCTTACTTTCAAAATTCATGAAAATAAATACAAAATTTATGTTGAAATATGTACAAACAGGAATAAAATAACCCACTATAAATAAAATTTAATTTTCTTAAAAAATATTCTCAATAATGTCCAATTAAGTAATTAAAAAAAATTAACTAATAATAGGAATTTGCAAACATTTTGAACATCAAGGTGTTCAAAGAAAATCTACAATATTCTTAATATTTTATGAACTTGATATTTTCTTCATCCAAACTATGCACCAATCCATGTATCTAATTTTCTGTCTGTGACAAGTGTAACTCATTCAGGGAGGAGAAAAATGTGATGGACCAAACCGCGATTTGAACCCCAGGGCCCCCTGAATCTTCAGTCAGGTGCTCTACTAGCTGAACTATCTGGCCACCATCTGTACATCACATTTCTCCCTTCTTAGGGTCTTCGCCCCCCAAGACACCAACCCAGGCTCTTCCCTGACAGGTCTTTCACCTGTCACTTCCAGGGCATGGCACAGCACCAAATGTAACAGGAAAGGAGAAAAAATGCAATGTACCAGACGGGGATTTGAAGTATCCCTTGCTCAGGGAAGGTTATGCAAAGAACTACATCATGACTGGAATTGTTTGTCATCACTTCTCCATATAAGGAGAAAAGATCAAGTTGTTCAAAAAGTGACTTCATAATATTCATATGTCAGATTCAAAAAAAAAAAAAAAATATGAAAACATTGCATGATTACATCTTATCTACAACATGTATGAGGTTTCTGTGCTTAATTTTCACAGTGACCATGGTGACTGCATTTCATTTCTCATGTATTTGCGTGAGACATTTAATTGTGAAAATTTAACTGCCTTACTGCTTTCACATTGACCAAATATAATACCACAGCTCCGTAAAACCAGTGCCAATACTTCTTTTTTAAATAGCCAATTTCTCTTACTAGATAAATGTTTCATATAATACTGGAGAATATTAAAGTTAACCATGTTAACCTGTTATTTAATATTTTCACATTTCATCATGTGATAAAATCCTTAGATGTTTTTATATATGTGCAATAAAAGGTTCTAAAATGTTTAGTAATATCTCATAAAACAGATATTTATCATAAATCTGCTGATTCAGTTTAACTCTTTGTAAGGCCAAGTTCTGACAAAGGTTACCAATTTTAAATGTCCGATTAACATGATTAACAGATTATTTATGATCCAGGCACATCTGTATCAGATCTGAAATCAGCTGATACTAACTGATTAAATATGAAAGAAAATTAGTGCTTTGTCATTATTTACGAAAAGTTAAGCACTGACTAAATTTTGCATAATCTTTTCCTTTAAAAAAGGGACAGGGAGGGAAAAAATAAATAAAAATGTGTCTAATAAATAACTCACAGTGATATCTCTAACATTACATGTACTTTAAATCATTTAAATGAATTCAAACATGTACTTACAGTTTAAACACACACAGTAATGGAAAGAATCCAACAACTGGTTTAAGTCATTCACATTAAAGGTGAAAAGAACTTAAAAAAAGAGGAGTTTAAGCTTCCTAGCTGACATCAATTGTTCCCCACATTTTTTTTATACATCCTGTATACAAGTATCTAGCCTATCAGAGTTCTTTTTTTATGTTACAGTAACATATGAATCATTGGGAGAGAGAGCATGGAGATCGAGGAATATTTTTTTCCTTGTTTGGATCATGATGTGTATCATAGTATACAATTATGTCTAGCAATTTCACTTTTGGCCACACTAATTTGTACTAACAATAATTTTTAGGATTTTCAAAAATAAAAATTAGGGTAAGAGGATGTAATTAATTTACAATTATTACTTTTCAATTTGGAGTTGAAAATTATGAGGCTATCAAATACAAGTTACAAGAATATTTTTTGTTTTATTCAAGCTTAAGTGTACAGATTTCAAAGAGTAACCACTTTAAAATAAAGACATTAAACCATTAGATATCATTTGTATTCAATAAGAACTTAGTTGATATTGTTTTCAATAAATAACAAGATGTGTTTGTGAAACACTGATGCCCCCGTATGGCAGTTTATGTCGAAGAATAAAGTTTCTCAAATGCAAGTCAAAATCCAGGCCAAAAGATAAAAAATGTTGATACCCAAAGAAAGATCTTGTCTCGAGGAAAACACCTGTGAAATTTGAAAGACCTAGATACAACTGTTCAAAAGTTATGGTGAAGGTTAAAGTTTTTTAAATAAAAGTCAAACGTCAAGGTCAAGGTCAAAGTGGTTGGTATCCAAAGGAAGATCTTGTCACAAGGATTACATATGTGAAGTATGAAAGCCCTAGCACCAACCATTCAAAAGTTATGGCCAAGGTTAAAGTTTTTCAAAAGTAGGTCAAACTCCTAGGTCAAGGTCAAAGGGTCAAAGTGGTTGGTATCCAAAGGAAAGTCTTGTCACAAGGATTACATATGTGAAGTATGAAAGCCCTAGCATCAACCATTCAAAAGTTATGGCCAAGGTTAAAGTTTTTCAAAAGTAGGTCAAACTCCTAGGTCAAGGTCAAAAGGTCATAGTCGTTGGTATTCAAAGGAAGGTCTTGTCACAAGGATTACATATGTGAAGTAGTAAGCCCTAGCTCCAACCATTCAAAAGTTATGGCCAAGGTTAAAGTTTTTCAAAAGTAGGTCAAACTCCTAGATCAAGGTCAAAAGGGTCAAAGTCATTGATATCCAGAGGAAGGTCTTGACACAAGGAATACACATGTGAAGTTTGAAACCCTAAGCACCAACTGTTCAAAAGTTATGGCCAAGTTTAAAGTTTTTCAAAAGTAGGTCAAAGTCCAAGGTCAAGGTCAAAAGGTCAAAGTTGTTGGTATCCAAAAGAAGGCCTTGTCACAAAGAATACACATGTGAAGTTTGAAACCCCAAGCTCCAACTGTTCAGAAGTTATGGCCAAGGTTAAAGTCTCATAAAATTTTGCAAAAGTGGGTCAAACTCCAAGGTCAAGGTCAAAAGGTCAAATATGATGGTACCCAAAGAAAGGTCTTGTCACAAGGAATACACATGTGAAATATGAAAGTCATAGCTCCAACCAATCAAAAGTTATGGGCAAGGTTAAAGTTGACAACAGACAGACAGACAAACAGACAAACAGACAAACGGACAAACAGACAAACAAACAGACAAACAGACAGACAGAACAAAAACAATATACCCCCGGGATCTTTCGATCCAGGGGTATAAAAAGTATTTCAGCTAGGTTTCAGACTTCACTTTCAATGAAAGTTATGTTTTGCAACATAAACATCATTGTATCATTTTGAACATGTTGAAAAATTTCCTTCCCCAAGTCCCTGTCTCATGCCAAGAGGAGGGTCTGCATTGCCTACAAATGAGCCAGACATTTGAAAAGTTCCCATAACAATGCACAATACAGATATCACTGTCATCCAACAGATTATACCAAGGCAAACAGGTGGAAGGAAATTTCTATGGTTTGCCAAATAGTATGATGTCTCAATGTTTGAGTTGCAAGAGATGATTTTCTGAACTTGTTATACCCTGGCACTAAATATATGAAACTGAATCAAAATAGGGCAGCCACTATACTTAAATTTAGCATGTGAACTGTCAAAATACCATAGAACTGAGGACCTTTGTGCACTTTTTATGAAGTTCAAGTATAATCAAAATCTGATTCCCTATTTACACGACCTATCAAATCATTAAATACTATCTGTGGTTCTGAGAATTCTTATTTTTCCAGGGAGGGAATAAGTATAAGAAGGAAAATGCATTTACTTTAGTGTTTGCCTTGTTCAGAAAGAGATGTTACATTGCATTTTAGTTTCATTTCTACAGTTTTTCTGTTCAAATCTGTGCATATATAATGCCAGGGACATGCCAGATCTTGAAATCTCAATTGCATCATTTTAAGCATTTTTTTTTTAATTTGATTGAACACACATCATCAAATATTCCACAAACCTTTGTGAATATTATTTCTGTTGATATTCTCTTTAAAGTTGCACAGTGACTGAATAACGCTTCAAAAATTTCCTAGGCTTCCAGTTCGATGCAGTAAAAAGAACAACTTCACATCAAGGGTTTTTACATGTAGGACTTTTTACTATTGTACAAAAAATAATAAAGATAGGCATCAGTAAAAAAAATTAACACTGTTATGAACTGAACTTTTTCAGGCCTACATGTCTGTCATTTGTCAACCACGTCATCATGTGTACCAAGGTCTTTGTTTTAGAAAGTCAAATTTCAAAAATTTATACTCCGAATATTTTGGCCCTTGGGGGCAGATGTTATTTTTCCATAATACTATTATTTGAATTCCTTATTTATTTATATAAGTGGCAAATCCACATCTGGTATGGCTTTAAAGTTGAATTTATCTACTGTTTGATTGAATATTACATAAAACTAAAATGATGATGTTAGTGTACAATGGTATGTGAACTACTAACCAATGGTTTCCAGATCAAGTGAGAAATGCCCTTTACTCAGTAAATTGTAAATAATTTTAATTATGACAATTTTCTTATAGAAGATTTGAGATATTATTATGAAATTCAAGCAACTTAAATTCCAATACAAGGCAAAATCTGGAGTCAATCATTGTTGAAGAGGAAATTTTACACAGGAAACAAAACAAATTATCAATTTTTGTTATCTCCCTTTGCTGAAGGGGGTCATTTCTTCCTAAGAAAAAAAAAAATTCCCCATAAATATCATACTTAAAACACAAGATTATAGAGTCTGACTGCTACATGTAACAAGGACTGCATCAGCTAGAGTCAGGTAAAATATGCCCTCCTATCAAAGATCTATGGCAGACCTTGATCTCTGACCTTGATGATCCATATAGCAGAACTTAATAGGAAGAACCAACAAACCATAGGACATCATGAATGTGAAGGAAGTGAACAAATAGGTTCAGATTCTAAATAATAATTAATTATTCATTCTCATCAGAATTGTAGCTTTACTTCAATAAAACTCGCTGAATAATTTATCATGACCAATTGACCATTCAGCATCTGTAATTTTGTAAACATTTCAATTTTGTTACATAGACTTGATAGGGTGCTTAAGGTCTGTCCCCATCACTAAATCCATTTGCCAAAAATCAATTAGTTTTTCTTCTCATGACAACTGCTGAGCTAATTTTTTCTCTTCCAAAAAGAAAAAAAATAAATAATAAATAAATAAATAAATAATAAAAGCAGTAAATTTTACTAATATGCCTCTCATTTTTCCCAAGGCTGTTTCACCATCGTAAACATTTATCATTTTTAGACAACATATAAATTAACAAGTTTAAGTAGGATCAAACAAATATGTCAGTACCAGTTTCTAAATGTGGACTACCAACCATGAATTAGGGAAATATGCAGTAAATGTCTTTCAAAAGATACTCTTATCCAGTTACACTGGTGTCTTATGTGACTTAGTATCAGAGAACAATATGGCCTTTGTTACTCGCAAGAAAAGAAGATTACGTCTGACAGATTCTCAATGTCGATTATGCCTTCAATTACCAAGTGGCACATATGGTGCGGAACTTGCGTAATCAAAAATATCTTCAGCAACACATCTTGTGGACTGAGCTATTGTCTCAATTAAAATTAGACTTTTCAACAGAATTTCTATCACAGATGAACGGCCTATAGGAAATCCTTACCTTAACCTGCCATTTTTTTCACTTCCTAAATTATTGATTTTAGTCGATAACCCTTCGCTGTACTCCACTTATCACCTCCCTCCACTGAAGATTTTCGAAACTTATTCTTGCATTCCGATCCCGATGCGAAACACTAAATGCAATGAACCCATAACGGACATTTCAACATTTTGAATCATGGCCGTAGGAACCGGGGGGGGGGGGGGAGGGACGTGCCCCCCCCCAATAATTTTGCCGATATATAGATTACTATAGAAAAAAAGAACTACTATATGCTTGTGCCCCCTCAATAAAAACGTCTGATGACTTTTTTTTTTTTTTTTTTTTTTTTTTTTTGCTTGTTTGCTTATCAAGGAATTAATTTTGGTTGATAGTGCCCCCTCAACTGAAGATGTATGGCTGTGCCCCCCCCCCCCAAACTGAAATTGCTTCCTACGGGCCTGTGAATAGTTGTTAACAGTGGTAAAGTTGAAGTGTCCATGAATATGAGTACATTGACTGGCAAGACTAATTTAAATAGAATTGTGTATTTCTAAATAAATTAACTGGCTGAGAACCTAGAAGAAAACATATTAAAAATGATCATACTATATTGAAAAAAAAATGTTGACTACAATACTTATACATGCATTTTGCATGCGTGTATTATATCTAATTATATGTTGTATCGCAAAACTTTCTAAAAGCATAAATTAATGAATGAATTTTCCACACTTTTTTTTAAAACACTTTTGACAACTATTCCAAGACTAGGCTTTTTGATTCCATAGACAAAGTTCTGCTTCTTCACTGATTAAAAAAGGATCGAGTTATAGGAAATTTCATATTTACTGTTTGGTCATGACATCTACAAAATAACATTGTTAAAAATTATTCTGATTCTATACACAAGTTCTCTGAAGTTGATCGAGTTCCTCATTGAAAATATATGTACTAGTCTTAATTTGGAGACCAGGTCTTCCAACAATCTGTTGGAATACTGATGAGCACCAATTCTGCTCCTTTATCAGACCCTAATATAAGGCACTTGTTTCGGTAATAATAATAATAAATTATTTAATCCATAGTACGATAATAAAATATTATACTATATGGGTTAAAAATTTATTATACAAGTGCATGTGATCAGACCACCTGTTTTCAAAAACCGTAGGAACCGGAGGCACGGGGGGGGGGGATCCCAATAATTTTGCCGGTATATATATAATACTACAGAAAACATAGCTACTATATGCTTGTGCCTCTTCATTAATAACGTCTGATGACATTTTATTTATTTTTATTTATTTTTTTTTTTTAATTTTTTTTTTTGCTTGTCAAGGAATTTTGGTAGTTGATAGTTCCCCCTCCCCCAACTGAAAATGTATGGTTGTGACCCCTCAAAGTGAAATTTCTTCCTACGGGCCTGATTTGTATTCATATGAAGCAGAATTTAATTTTTTCAAAAAAAAAAAAAAACAAAAAAAAACAAAAAAAAAAAAACAAAAAAACTTCTCCATGAAAAGTCTCTTGCTGTGACTTTCAATTCGACATAAATTTTGCCTCCGGTATATCGACGGCGTTTTAAAATTAACAATATTATTTTCAATCACATGACTTTGTATGTCGACTAGATACATCTCACTGAACTCAAAATAAAACACCACGGAGTCTGCCTGACACATCTGTTTCATATATTGTTGTTTTATTAAGAGAGACATTAATTGATGGCAAACTATATATAACAGCACATGCTACAAATAAAAATGTGGATGCATGGATTGATATATACATTTTTGGACCTATTTTGGTTGTAAATGATGAGTAATAAAATCCCTAAAATTTAACAAAAGGTACTTTTTTAAATTATTGTCTGCATATAAAGCCTCTCATTAGTCGAAAGTCGACTGACATTTTTGATACAAATTTTTAAGTTATAATTTTCATATTGATATGTCTTAATTCCGTTTACTGGAGCAAGAGACAGACAAATAAAGATTGCGGGATGTTATTGACTGCCATCTAAAAATCAGGATTTCCTGACAGAACTCTCTACGCTCAAAAGTGTGCAAAATATCCGTACTTTTGTCATGTTCACGATTCTTATTCTTTACTAATTTTATGAATTCACTGTTCTTTAAATCTTCACCATTTACACTTTGAAGATTTTTCCTGGGGCCAGATAAGCTCAGTATTTACACGATTATACAATTTACTTTTCTCAATGTCAAAAAAAAAAATATCATTTGTATATGAGTATAATATAACATTTACTATTTCTCAAGGAATTGTAAGGTAGTTGATGCTGCAGCTAGGTGACTTATACATTTTGTAGTTGATGCTGTATGTGACCTATAAATTTTGTATACGTAGTTGATGCTGCAAGTGACCTATACATTTTATAGTTGGGTGATCAGCTTAAGGCTCAACTTAGGATTCAGGCTCGTATAGGAAACAATTTCAGTTTGAATGGGGGGAGGGGCAATATTTTCAATTTTGGTGGGCACTTTCAAGGAAAAATAAACGAAAAAAAGGGAGGGGTCATCATACGTAATTATTGAAGGAGCACATTCATAAAGGAACTTTGTTTTGTTTATATATATGTATATATATATATATATAGAGAGAGAGAGAGAGAGAGAGAGAGAGAGAGTACATTATATGAAGGCAAAGTTATTGCGGGGGAGGGGGGCATCATGGAATTGAAGTCTTATACTATATAATTCATTTTGTTCATGGAGAAATGAATCTAAAAAAAAACCCCGCACATTTAATGAAAGCTGAAGATGAGAACATTTGACCAGAGGTTGAATATCCAACTTTTCATTTATATGTTCACAAAATCGAAAATTTTGCACGCCGACATATGCACAGTTTCCCGTTAACTAATCCACAAGCCTGTAGCTTATCTTGCATGCATAATATAATACATGTACATGTATAATATTGAAAACTAAGAAAATCTCCATTGTAATTATCTGTGAATAATTTTCTATGGTAATAATTACCGAAGTTATGAAAATCTCACAGTGATTGCACCATAAAGCAGAGAGACACTTGCTTTGTAGACGGTAAACAATCGATCAACTTTAGTTTTCAATGAAATTCTGTAAGTAAATTAACGTGCTTGTTGATATACTCATTACGTTGTAAAACTTAATCCCCGCCCCCTTAATTATATGCGAACAAAATCCTCAACACGCAGAATAACAGAAAGTTCACAATATATATATATATATATATATATATATATATATATATATATATATATATATATATATATATATATATATATATATATATATATATATATATTCAGTCTAAGGTCTCTTTTTCTCTAGGTTTGCTATTAATATATACTGTATTTTTAAAGTACTGAGAAGAATTATAAATATATTAAACAAGCAATATATTTTTTTAAAATCCCTAGATTCAAATTAAAATATATTGTTCAAACGTAAAATGTACCTGTTGATCAATTTTTATTTAGAAAATGCATAATGGGTGCTTTTATTCACATTTCCTGAAAATATATTTGAGATTTTGTAGCAGAGCAGCAATCAAGACAAGATGGTTTTGAAATCAGTGTGATGTTTATTACATGGATTATATACTTAAGTACCAGATTCTGCAAAACAATATAAAATACATTAACTATATTTGATATCACACATAACAGCAGAATCTATTGTTATCATAAAATCAAATAATTACTACATATTAATTAGATCATAAAATAATATTGACACAGGTCAATGAGTTATATCTCTTGACAAATGATATTTCTCTTTATATATTCACTTCATATAGTGGATAAATATTTACAATATACATGTACATATAGCTACATACCAAACTATGGGTATGAATCCATCTCTATTTCTAATACAGTGTATATGTATTGCTATGGATTTAATATCTACAATTCATAAATAACATTTATACACTATATATTCTTTTGTGTCATAAAATACATTTCATTACAAAGTTTAAAATCAACTAGTTCACCAGCTTTGACAAACTTAAATAATTTAATAAATTCTCTCATATGCCACTTTTCATTCATACAATTATTAATATGAAAGTATTAATGTGAAATAAGAATGTCAAAAAGTCAACTTACTGTCAGTGGTCTATAAAATACTCCAAATATCAAAAATACAACTTTACACACTGACTGCTCCTAGGCTAGTAATTATCTGGACACTCTGGACAAAGGGGGTTAAAGGTTTTGGTGGGAAAATATTAACCAATGGCAATTCTTACTTATTTATTTATTCAAGGTTAAAAGTTAAACTGTAATTTAGAACTCTAGAGATTTCTAGACTTTAATTAGAGGTAGTTGTTATAAATTTATTTAAATGTTTAATATTTAAATAAAACATTTTTATTTTAAATTAAGTTTATTATTGAAAGTTATTTCATAACTTTCAATGGCATCTGAAAGAAAATTGTTGTTATAATTAAAATCAATATAAAAACATGACTATTACACACTTCCCCTCCTTTGAAATGACGTCTTCGTCATCTTGTCTCTATGGAAGTGTGAACAAATAATCTGTAAATTAAAATAAAATAAAATCAAAGTGAATTATCCGTCATAAAAAATTATTTCTGCAACAGGATTTCAAGGAAAGTGGAAGACAGTTGTTTCTGGTCTACACCGGAAAGATGGTTATCTGAAACAAGAGATTTTAAATAATTGCATTTTAATTTCCAGTCTGGATCTTTAGCTTGCTGTATTGACATGGAGTATTCTCCAGTCTTCATCCAAGCAGGCTTGGTCTTTGCTCTTACAGGTCTTACAGGTTTTTCAGATATATTTGCTGTTTGGATATCTTTTGCTTGATTTTCAATTTCTTCTTGGGTGACAGCTTCTGAAATTTCATCATCTTGTTGATCTGTAACAACTTCTTCTTCAATATGTGGATCTTCTTGCAGAGAATGGCTTTCAGCCTCTGGCTCACAATTCTTAGAGTCATCAGATGTGTTGCTCTTATCTTCAAGAGTGAGAGCGTCCTCTCCCACATCTGAGTCTTCTTCTGCTGGTTCAGTCCAGCCAGCTGGAATCTGACCGT